GTATGTGCCCTTGACCAGGAATCGAACCCGAGACCCTTAGGTCCACAGGACGATGCTCCAACTGAGCCAAATGGGCCAGGACAGGGCAGAATTACTACACTTAACAAGAAAATATGAAAACAAATTAGAATATTAATTCCTATCATTGTGATTCATTCCCTATGTGATGTTAATGACTAGATGTCAACTACACTCTTAAAAAGGGGGAACATATAAGTTCAATTACTAAATTATTTCAAGATTCTTATACATTATTGCTATTATTTAAGAGTTTTAGGGGAAAGGTTAGATTTAAAAAATCTGGCAATGTTAGAACTGAAAAAGTTCTTAGAAAACAAATAATTATCTCAACCAATCCAAGTCATGATCTTACTTCTCCTGATTGCTTCCCCAACAAAGAAAATAGGTTAGGTATCCAGGCAACATAATCGTCAATGCTCTCAACCTTGTACACAAAAAGCCTGTTTCTGAACCTTATTATGATTCTTCTGATTCTTCCCTTTTCTTTTCTCCCTAACATCATTTCTTCCTTAACTAACCTAGCTCCTATACTACATCAGGTCAACTGATCTCTGTCTTACTTAGCTCTTACTTCCTCTATCCCTATCCTACACAAGGCCCTAAATCCTAGATTAATCCTTCTCCCCATTCACAGCTGTTTTTTAGTACAACAAAAATGAAACCACTTCTGGAGCAGACTGCTACGATAATCAAATCTCAGGTGGCTCAACACTGCTCAAAAATCCTTTTGGTCTTCTAGGAAATGAAAAAGATTTGGTTACATATGGTTAAGGATTGACTACAAGTTTATGGGTAATGGAGCAAAAAGTTAAATGGGGTTCATACCTGCTGCCTGTTTTTATTTCAAGTAGAAGCCCAAATCATCTTTTGAAGTAACCATCACTGAGCCAACAGTGCTATATGTACTTCATGACCCAGATTACTGAACACTGTTCATAATCCTACAGAAGCAGTTTACAAACACAGGAAAGCCAAACTAAGAACTATTTAAATGAATACACCATAAAATTTTGTCCATTTCAAGATTAGACAATCTAAAATTCATTATTTTTTTTTTACTTGGCTCATCATATAATAGAGCTGATTTTATAGTGTTTTATTAAAGTTAACATGGGTTTGATACAGTAAACTTCAAGGATACAGCAGTCTAAACAATATGCAACTATAGACTAGGGGCCCAGTGCACAAAATTCTGGCACTCAGCGGGGGCTCTCAGCCCAGCCTGTGCTCTCTCGCAGTCCAAGAGCCCTTGGCTTAGACCCACTCCCCATGGCTTCTGGCACACTGACCACTAGGGGGCAGCTCTTGTGTTGAGCATCTGCTTCCTGGTGGTCAGTGTATATCATAGCAACCGGTCATTCCGCCATTTGGTCAATTTGCATATTGGCCTTTTATTATATAGGATATAGGATAATTTTAACACAAAGTATCACAGAGGCTTGTCTCTTTTAGAACCCTGAAGAAAAACTGATTTTTCTTTTAAAAACTGTTTTTGTTTTAAAAGAAATACATCTAGCTCAAAACAAAGCAAAAACAAAACAAAACTTGGTGCTTAATTTTCACATAATGTTTAGGAAATATTCCCTAATATTTTCACTACACAACTAAGACATGTAACCAAGGGCTGCCGGTATCATATCAACTGGAAAAACAGCAGCCTCTGAGCCACAGGCTAGCCCAGTGGTCAGCAAACTGCGGCTCACGAGCCACATGCGGCTCTTTGGCCCCTTGAGTGTGGCTCTTCCACAAAATACCGACTTCTGCACATGGGCCACGAAGTTTCAATCGGATGGTACGTGCGCCCCCCTACGTGGTATTTTTTGTTTACCTTCTTACCTAACCAACAGTCCTTGCTACAGAATCCTTGCTATTTTTCGAACATCTGCCCTAATACTCAATCCTCTTATGTTCTCACCTTTAAAAAGTAAATCTTTTTGTATTTTTAGGCAGATGACTGAACATAACACACATAAGGCTTCAAAGGGTTACGTAGGTAGGAGCTAATGGATAAAAATGTTAGCGATTTTCTTCTTTTCAATTTCTCAACCACTGGTAAAACAATGCTCAAAATCTCAAGCTATGGTAAAGATAAAAAACACACCAAGATCACTTACAAACTCAATTAAATACAACAGTACCAATTCTACAGACCTCTCTGATGTGTGTATTAACAGAATCAATGTAATATGTGTTTGACTCAGCAGTGAACTTGCCAGACAGAACAATCTCATTCCCCGTCGACTTAGCATAGGTCCAATCAGGGCACCTTCAGTCTGTAGCAGACAATCTTTGCTTACTGAAATTCCCTAAAACATGACTCATTTCTCAATGTGCAAGGCCCCTTTCACCTCCATAATTCTTCCCACAGAACAAGCATGTCATTAGTGAGAGGCATAACATTTCTTCGAAGGATGGTACATGACATGAATCACTTTGTTCGCAGAAGAAACAGTGGAAGAGTCTTCAACTAATCAGAAAAGAAGTTTACAGTAATTTAATTAGGAGGGTAACATTAAAATTTTACTCTCAAAAGCATCTAATTATAAAATATTTTGTTTTCTCCAAATCAGTTAAGCCCTTTTGTTTGATGTATTTTGTACCTTTATTAAAGAAATGATACCATTTATAATGATTCGAACCCTATTTCAAAGGTCAGACTAATTCAGAACTTTTTAGATCTAAAGTCCACAGGTAAAGCATTTTAGGTTATAATTACTCATGCAGCAGGATAATGTTGCTACTCCTAGAAGATATTTCTAAATTCCCTAAGCCAATCCTCAACATAAATTCAAAGAGAGTAGTACAATGTATCAGCTACAAGCTTTCTGTGAAAGACTATGATGTTTTTATCTTTGTTTGCGCTGGAAGTCTTCACAAATAGACTTCCCAGGTTCCTCTCACCATCTCATTTCCTGGTCCTCTCCCCCTTACCCTCCAAAACACACACACACACACACACACACACACACACACACAAACACCTTAGTCTGGTACATATTGGTCACTAAAAACATTTCCTCTTGTAGGAGGAAAACAAAATATTGTTTGCAAATATAACCTGTACATCTTATGTGCAATAAATAAATATGTGCAAGCAGAGGATACACTCATCAAACCCAGACCCATTTCGGTGAATTCCTTCCAGGGCCCAGATACGAGTATTACGCAACAGCCACCATTCCAGCTTTTAATCCCTGTCTGTGATGCTGTGGTAAAATACAAATGGCACGACCATAATCCGCTAGAGGTACTTACGTACACGTACGACCTAAATTAAAACAGGAATTGCCAAGTTCTCAGGAACCTTGAAAATGACAAATGGTGTCACAGTTCAGAATCATAACTACAACTTTTCCTTCCTGGTAGCCCAATGCCCTCCAAAACCCTCCCACATGAGCAAATGGAGGTTTTGAAAGGATCCCCCTGAGATGGGGGAGGGGCAGGCATCAGGTGGTTACCCTCAAATCTCCTCCTTGTGAGGCAACCATCCCACTTTCCAGAAGCTGAAAAGCGAATCCGACGCCTCATCATTTCTCCCAAAGGACGATCATGGGAGTGAGTGTAGGCAGATCCCTAGACCCCCGGGCCCTAAACACTCCATCGGATCTCCCGGGGCACAGGCCTGGAAACACGGCCGGGCAGCTAAGAATCAGACAACACTGCAGCGAGCTGCTTTCTGGAGGAGAATCCACACGTAGCCAGCAGTTACGGGTCTGGGAGGGGTCAGAGCATCTCCGGAGGCCGCCTCCGCGCGGGCAGCGCCGAAAAGCCTCGGCTCCACACCTGAGCAGGTCGGGTGCCCCCGAGCCCAGGATCCGCGCG